CTAAATGAGTTTAAGTCTCTGTTAAAAACTCATCTGTTTAAACAGGCATTTGAGTCTGAAGAGCAGGATCATTAGGCCAGCCTTTGTTGTTTCGTTTGATTTTATTGTTCATTTTGTTAATATACTTTGTTCATTGTTTTTATTTTAAGCTCCTGTACAGCACTTTGGTTTTTATTGTGCTTTATAAATAAACGATGATGATGATGATGATGATGATGATGATAGTAATAAAATGAATGGAGAACAAATTATAATTTTTTTTATAAAATGTGTTGTGGATCCTGCCTAAAGTTGAAAAGGCGTTTTCTTAAAGTTCACTATTTATCATTTTACTATGGGTGTCATGAACACTGGTATTAGTTTTTGGCCCAAGACTAGCCTCAAACGTTCATATTTGTACTTTGACCACCATGGGGTCAAGAGCCTTCAGCTGCTCAATTCTTCAGACCGATACCACTTTATTGCTTGGTGATGTCATTTCCTCTTACACTTCATAAGTTATTAAGGGTACAAGTAAAAAGTGCCTGTGGTTTGGAGATATTTTAAGACAAATATAGGTGCTGTCAAGACAGACGACTGTTTGCTGTGTTTTTAATAAAATAAATGTGTTTTTGTCTTTTCACATGTATCAGGACACCCCTACATATTTGTGTGTGTGTGTGTGTTTTACTAACAAATCCACTAACTTTGACTTGTGTTTGTTGCAGGAGCATTTCTTACCATTAAGAATGCCTATGACGTGTCAACAGATGCAGCCAAGAAAGTTAATACCAGCACAAACATAGTTGAAGAGTCAATGGACCTTAGAAAAGAGACAAAAGACATTCAGAGCAAAGTACAAGAAACCAACACCAGAGACCTGAATCAAATGAACCAGACCTTGGCCTCACAGCCAGACCTTATTCCCACTGCTAAACAGGTACCTGCCATGGTTAACTTCTCTGTTTTAAACCAGAACTGCAATAGATACAGCTTTATATATCTTGTTTACATGCATGCTCCCAACCACACATAAACAGGTGTTTAAATCCTGGGTTTTCTGGTCGGACACTGATTGAATGGCATGTGCATATGTGAACTTATATATATATATATGTGTGTGTGTGTGTGTGTGTGTGTGTGT